CTGCAGCCCTGATCCACGGGGCAGCCCTGGAACCAGCGACTGGTGTACCCATCCCGCCCTCTGGGCGCGTATGCAAGGAGCAGCAAGCAGGCAGAGTCTGACGTCCCTGCTGGATGTCTTGCCCCACAGGCTGACTTCACCCAAGATGTTGGCGCTGGTTGTCTCCTGTGCACACACCCAGGGGACAGGGCAGAGGCAGTGGGGCGGCTCCTCACTGATTCCAGGGCTGCCCGTGGATCTAAGGCTGAGCGCGTCCTGGCTTTGATGGACGTAGGTTGTAGATCAGCGCCACCCCCCTCCCACCAGCACCTCCATGGCCCACTCGCTGACCTAGCCTCGCAGCCATGAGGCTTCCCTTTCACCGGGACCGTCCCCACTCGCCCGTGTGGGATAGTGACGGCAGTAGCATGGACACTGGCAACGTGGCAATCTCTCCCCCTCCCATCACCCCTTCCTGAGCAGGGAGGAAGGAAAGAGATGAGAAGGAGAAGGAAGGAAGGAGGGAGGGAGGGAGGGAGGGAGGAAGGAAGGAAGGAAGGAAGGAAGGAAGGAAGGAAGGAAGGAAGGAAGGAAGGAAGGAAGGAAGGAAGGGAGAGGAAACCTGATTGGAAATGTTCCAGTTCGTGCAGTTCTGCTTCAATCCTAGATCCACTGGGCTCAAAGGAGAAAGCAATTTTGACAGGACTTTATTGGCAATCCAAGTTAACATTGGTATTCTTGAATTGTGAACTCTTAGGAAAGTATCCCCTCCTTGTGTGTTGTAAACAGTCATTTCCAGTGGGGAAAACAGGACAAAGCAGAGTGGGAGAAAATATTTTTCTTTGCTATATTTCCAGTCTGAATTGCATGGCAGGGTCCCTACAGGAGAGCTCTTTTAGGGATTATGTATTAATAGAAAAGCAACTAACTTACCTCTGTTCCTAATACTAGAGCTGTTGCACATAAAAAACAGGAGCTCTGATCAACTATCACAGCACCATTTTGACAGTTTTGCTGTACTGTTGTCTGTGGACGCCCCCACTAAATGCAAGCATGGAATAAACTGAGCCTGGTTTGTTCTCAGTCTTTTAAGTGGCCACAGACTACTAGCAAAAGTGGCATTTGATCACAAGGCAAGGAGGCATCGAGAAATGTTTCACCTTTTGCATTTGAGCATCCAAGAAGGGACAGGAAAGGAGAAAGGGAAAGGGAAAACCTAACAAAAAGAAGGAAAGAGTAGAAGGAAGAAGGAAAGGAGAATGAAGAGGGAAGGAAAAAGAAGAAAAGGAGAAAGGAAGGCAGGAAGGCAGAAAGATATATTATGAGAGGGAGGATGGGTCTGAGGGAAGTCCTGCCTTAGCACTTGGCCATGAGCAGCCCTGTTGCCCTTTCTTCATCCCCTTGTCCGGTCCTCCTGACCTCTCCTGGTGGTCTCCCATCCTATCGCCGAGGATGCTTTGGTTACAAAGCCGGGTCTCTTCACAGGGAGAGGGAGTGGGCCTCCTTCTGACCCACACATTTTGCCCTCCTGCACGCATCATAAGCAACTTGGCCAAGGAGAGTGAGCCAATCAGCAGCAGCCTTGAGGAGGAGGTAAGCGCAGCCGGGTGCCTCCTTGGGAAAGGCTGGACTGGGCACTTGCCCTCCACTGCCCAGGGCTCCGGGCAGCCTGCATCACTGGGGTCCTCTGCATGGCCTAAGAGTAACAGCAAGGCTCCTCTGGTGGACAAAGGTAGAGTGCTCATCCTGGTCTCGCCTTCCTCGGCTGGAGACCATGGATCCCCCCCAGCCCTGCCCAGCCCACCACAGGCGCCCGACATGAGTGACACTGAGCTGGCCATGCCCATCCTCGCCATGCCCACTCCCACTATGCCCACCCCAGCCATGCCCACCCCAGCCCTCCAAGGTCAACCACAACCCTGATGGCCGCATGAATGAAATTGAGTTTGACACCCCTGATCTAGAGAGTGTTCACTTTTGCTGCTTCAAGCCTTTGGTGCATTCACAGAGAATGGAGGCCTAAAGCAGGGCTTTTCAACCTTTTCACAGATTGTACCACTTTTAGGACATGACAATATTTGAGTACCACCAGTGCTTAGCAAAGTGTCAAAAACTTAATGACTAAAATAAAAAAGGGGGGGAATTTTGGGTTTTACTGATTAGATTCATTTGTTGTTATATAAATGGCTAGTTTATAATATTATGGAGAAGTAAAAAGTTGAGGTTCAATGTTAATGCTTCCTTCTACTGCAACAGAGGAAGTATGTTCTTTTTCCCTTCTCCCCCTCACTTTTTTCCCCTTTTTCCTCCCCACTGTATCCTACTATTTGCTTTTGTATTTTTGTATTTTATTGTATAATCTAATAAAATGCTACAAACTGTAGAAAAAAGTAAAAAAGTACCGGTTTTAATTTCTTTGGTGGCTGTTCCTTTGCTGAATCACTTTCCCTTTGCACTGACAAACGTATAATGAATTTATCCATGTTTATTAATATGCACCATTACCAGCTAGCTCAGGGATCTCCAAACTTGGTACTTTTAAGACTTGTGGACCTCAACTCCCAGAATTCCTCAGCCATCATGGCTGGTTGAGGAATTCTGGGAGTTGAAGTCCACAGGTCTTAAAGTTGCTAAGTTTGAGCTAGCTAGTCGGCCCTTCTTCCTCTCTCCCTCTCCTCTTCTTCCTCCCTGCCTTCTGAGCTCTCCTTCCACAGTGTAGTAAGAATGCACCCCACCCTAATTCCTTCCCTGTACCCTTAAAGACACAGGAATCAAGTGCAAAGCAAGAAAGGCTCACAAAAGCCTCCCACAATAAACAAACACATAAACTCTGTTTTTTTTTCCCTTTAAGCTGCCTCAGGCATGTCACGTGTCACAATGTTGCAACCCGAGATTGAAAGGCTCCAGCAATTGCAAAACGCTTTAGCCTTAAATTAAGCCTGTTTACCTTCAAAAAAAAACTTTCTAAAAGCCATAGACAGACTCAAGATAAGGGGGTAAAACTAATTACATTTGTTTAAAGGGATTAAACATATGGAAGTCAACACTTTCGATTAACTTCTAGCCTAAAATACAAACTAAAATATTCCAATAACCAATAACTCGTCTCCCAGCTTTTCATTTCATCAGCACTGATTGCATTCTCCTGGCTAGAGAAAACCAACTAGGGGAGCTTTTCTTCCAGCAACAGCTGCTTCTTCTTTCCTGTCTCTTTTTCCTCCCTGCCTCCTGAGCTCTCCTTCCACAGCTTCTTCTCCGTCCCCTTCTCTTTCCCTGTTGTCTTTTTTTTCATGCCCAAACCACCTCCTTTTATATCCTCTCCTCCCCCTTTTTCTTCAGTTCACCTCCAGCTCCGTGCTGCTTGCGGAAGCGCCAATCAGCTGGAGCCCTGCCGGCTCCTGGGGCTTCTGCCCAGCCCTGACAGTCCTGCAACTCCAGCTGCCTCTCCCTCAGGCTTGGGTCGCTTCAGCTCTTTTCCCTCCCCCCACTACACATTTCTAGGATGGTCGCGTACCACCTGCCACATGCCAAAGTACCACAGGTGGTACACGTACCACCAGTTGAAAAGCCCTGGCCTAAAGTACCGCAAGATCACGCGAGATCTCACGCTACTGATCTCGCGTGATATACTAAAGTTTTCTGCAAATGGAGGCCTGGACATGATCTGCGGCAAAAGGCTTTGCAAATGGAGGGAAGGCCTGAAACACTGAAGTCTTCCCTCAATTTGCAAAGCTTTTTGCCATCTTTGCCAAAAGCAGCTGCCGGTGCGAACAGAGCCCCAGGTTGACATGCACGTCACTCCCGGCCTCTGTTTTTGCCGGTGAAAAAGGAAGCCGGGGATGATGCACGCATCAGCCTGGGGCTCAAGGCCTTTGCTGCCGAGAACAGATGCTGGGAGTGATACACGCTCCCTCCAGGGGCTCCGTTTTCATTGGCAAAGGCCTTTGCCACCAAGAATGAAGGCCCAGAGCGACACGCGCTCCCTCCAGAGGCTCCGTTCTCAGCGGCAAATGCCTCCTCAAACCCTATTGGGCTCTTTGAACCAGCACTCATAGGTGCATAAACACTTTTTGGCCAGAGGCTGAAAGCTTCTGGGGGCCATGATCTTATGCAACTTCCAGCACCCATCCACTTTTGCAGAGAACAGGTGCCTAACTTCCCGCGAGATCAGGGCATCCAGAAGCTTTCAGTCTCTGTGCGAAAAGTGCACGCCAACGGGAGACTTGAAGCAATGTTATTTCAGTGCCCCAAACCTCCCTTCGGTATGCTTTTCCTTGTTGTCTGGAAGCCTTTGGAGGAGACTCACCAAGGCTGCCCGCTCCAGCCCGGTGAGGCAGAGCAGCTGAGCAGGGTGCACTCGTCCTGCTCTCCCTCTGCTCTCACCACTCTCCAGGAGCAGGCAAAGAAACAGAAAGGCTGGAGAGGAGACAGATCTTCACAAGGTAGGTGACCCAGCATGGCAGGATGGGAGGGGGCAACTGTGGGGACCCCAGGGGAGGGAAAATGAGGTATCTCAGTGGGTCAGGAGAGGCCTTGAGTTGTCTGAAACAGGTGGCCTGTTCCATCACTAGGCCCCCCATGGCCTTCCCCACCCTGAGATACCTCATGTGCACTTAATGAGCCACACATTCAATTAGTGAATGTGTGGCTGAAAACAGGGAGTGATCACATTCAAGGTACGAGATTCACTCCTACGAGTCCTCGAGTTATGAATGGAATGGGCAGGTTCCATTCCATTTGTAACTCGAGGACTACCTGTAAAAAAACCCCCACTCAAATGGTCAAGAATAAAATCTGTCCCTCTTCCTTACTTAGTACTCCGAAATGGAAGTTCTAGATCAATAAATAGATTATTTTCAGAGAATAATCCAAGGCAGTTGAATAGTAGGTATCTGAATTTCTAGGGTCTCTTAAATCACAAGAATCAATTATATGCTAAACCAACATTCAACTCTTAACTTCCAGTTATTCCAGTCATTTGTACAGTCATCTACATCAATTGTCCCCAGCCCATTACTAGCCAGATCTTGAAGTTCATTCTCTGTTTCTAGCTTCTTTTGACCTTTCAACCAGCTGATATAGTCTGCTTCCTCATGTTCCTGAAAGAAAGTAAGTAAGTATTAAATTGACAACACTAACATCCCTTTATAGTTCCAGCATCATATTATGGGGATTTTTATTTGCATTTTTAATTACTTTCAAATTCATTCTTGAGTTAGATTATTTTTTAGTCAAAATATTTATACTTTATTTTTGCCCCTCCTTAAAAAAAGCAATATAAATTTGGCTACTGAAAAATTGAATGTCTTTCTCCATTATAATCCAAATTTTCAAAACCTAAGTAATACTCCAGACTACCTTAAAAGAGATTTGGGCAATACTGAAGTGTAGACTAGTTGTATATTTTAGGAAGCAAATTCTCCTTTGTCTCATATTGTCAGGATATCTGCCATTTGTCTTTAAGTTTAATTGACAGTTGACAAATTGGATAGACAAGTTCTCATAAGATAGTTGACCCTACTACCACATGATAAATGATTTATTCAGCACAGCAGCAGAAAATCAGCAAGATGTAAAGCTGCACCAATTGAACTGAAAATAATTAAATTTGTAGATATGCCAGCTTTGTTGGCTGAAACTAGTATAAACTTAAAATAGCTTGTTCATAAATACTTAAGTTATTCTGTAGTGCAGTCTATTTGAATTTCTATATATGTTTGACCAATATAACTCATTGGGATTCAGTTGTTCTAAGTTAAGCTAATTCTTGTATTTAAGCAAGGTGCTAACCCTACCGTAGACTGAGTGAAGCATCTCATGAGGAGGCCACTGTATACTATAATATAGGTAAATTGCATATAAGATTGGAGAACACATTCAGCATCCTATTTTTTTTTAAAGAATGGGTATCTGAAATATCACAAAGGCATGTCACTGTTGAGAACTCTTGGAAAATCAGTAGTCAAGAAAAAGTTATCACAGGAAGGAGGTATCTTCTGTGACATTCAAGTAAAGTTCCTCATAATCTGAAGATATGATTAATATTTCAGACAGCCTGGAGGATTGAGCAGAAAAAATATGTATTTCCCACCTTTCCCCCTCAGAAACTAAGAAGCTGATTTTCAGAACAGTACCCTGCTTAGATGAGCAAAAGACCTAAATAATACTACCTTATATAGACACATACTTTCTCTTCCTTGCTTTTAACCCGTTTCTGAAGCAGAGTTGAAGAATTGCCTTCTTCTTCATCACTTTCTGCCACAAACTTTCGGAAGCTGAATCAGATACAAAGGTAGGTTTAATATAATGTCAAATGTTTTTGGAGGTTAAAAACCAATACCATCACATAGCACATGGTCACAAAGATTTACAATTACAATAATTAAATTCAAATTAGTAAACTGCAATACTTTTAGCCATGGCCTATCAAATAACTGGGTTTATTAAATCACTAATCCAGAACTATAGTTTCCTAATGAGAACTGAGTTCAAAGCAAAGCCAGGCAAATTACATTTTGGGTTATTTTATTTTTTTATAAGTTTTTATTGATTTTTTAACAGAATTCAACAGTGCTTATTCAACAAACCTGTTGTCTGAGTTTATCGTTCACTAATACAAATTAGATTCCTAATCCCTAGTTCGTTTCTCCAACCATTGATAAAATAAGTCCCAAGTTTGAAAATATTCTGTTTCTTTTTTCAATCTCAGAGTAAGTCTGTCCATTTCTGCACAGTCTAATATTTTTTTAATTATTTCTTCCTCCAATGGTATTTCTTCATTTTTCCAATATTGTGCAAATATAAGTCTTGCTGCTGTTGTCACATGTAAAATCAAATATATACTTTGTTTGTCAAGTTTTTCTCGCATTATATCTAATAAAAAAAGTTCAGGTTTAAAATCTTCATGTTTCCCCAACACCTTTTCTAACCACGTATGTATTTTTGTCAAATATTTCTTTGCTTTAACACACATCCACCATAAATGATAATAAGTACTTGGCTTATGATTATATTTCTAACATTTATTCAACATATTTTTAAACATTTTTGCTAATCTTGCTGGTGGCAAGTACCATCTATAAAACATTTTATGTAAGTTTTTTTTATAAGAGGTCGACACTGTCAATTTATAATTTCTTTCCCACAGGCTTTGCCATTTCTCTAAATCAGGGCTTTTCAACCGGTGGTACGCATACCACCTGTGGTACTTTGGCAGGTGGTATGCGACCGTCCTAGAGAAGTGTAGCAGGGGAAGGGAATGAGCCGAAGCGACCCAAGCCTGAGGGAAAGGCAGCTGAAGCTGCAGGACTATTGTGGCTCAGCAGAAGCCCCAGGAGCACCAGCAGGGCTCCAGCTGATTGGCTCCAGCTGATTGGCGCTTCTGGAAGCAGCGCAGAGCTGGAGGGAAACTGGAGAAAAAGAGGGGGGATATAAAAAGAGGTGGTTTTGGTGGGAAAGAGAAAAAAGACAACAGGGGAAGAGAAGGGGACGGAGAAGAAGCTGTGGAAGGAGAGCTCAGCAGGCAGGGAAGAAAAAGAGACAGGGAAGAAGCAGCAGCTGTTGCTGGAAGAGAAGACCCTGTCAGAACCCATATTTTAAAGGGCCTTTTCTTTCTCTCTAAACCCAAACTGCATTCTCTTTTCTCCCTGGGTTCTGCCATACTCCTGGAGGGGAGGGGGGAAGCGCTTGACGGTCATTGCCTTGTTTCCTCTATCGCTACAATATAACACTTTGCTGTTCCTGCATTTCTTCGTCTGTGAACTTTTTCTCCCCTGTTGTCAGCTAGAAAGAGGGGAGGAGAATGGAATGTACCTCCGGCAACTGTTTTATCTCCGCATTCGCAAGGGAAAGTGCGAAGAGCAGCCTAAACATCGCTGCAGTCCAGACACGGCCTGATGTTATCTCCTTTTTCCCACAATGAACTTAACACCTTGTTTGAACTGACCGGATGAACTATGGGGTGGGATTATGCTTGGGGACACTTTTTACCTATCAATCTGGCGGGAAACCCTCAGTTCCTGTCTATTATGCCTGCTATCAGCTATCAGCTTCTCCTAATAAAAGCTCCTGAGACCCTTTTTTACCTCTCTTTTACCCTAACTATTCTCCTGTGAAAGCTCTTTGAAACTTCTTCCCCGCTCTCAATTCAGCGACGTTTGCATACTTGGAAATTTAAACTTTGGAAAGAAAAGGAAAAAAACAACTAACTTCAATAACTAAATAACTGGGTTTTTGTCTTGCGGATACCTTGGGGTCCCAAAACTTCCTATTATAGAGACTTAACATCTTCCTTAACTATTAATTTTGGAAAATATCTTTTTTTCTGTTTTTTTAACTGAATAAAAGGCTATTTGGCGTCTGGGAAAAGATTTTGCAGCTGGGGACATCTTGTGGTGAAACCTGGCATAGCAATTGAATTTTTTTCTTCAATTGCGCTTTTTTCTATTTTAATTTTCCATCCATATTCAAAGTATATCAATAATTTATAATTTCAAAACAAGTTATATTTGGGTAACCAAAAGCATCTCTTATTCAAAATTCTTAGCATATTCTTATTTCCCTTTTCATACCAAGATATGATATTCTGATTACAAAGCCTATCTATCTAGTTATAATAATACTTCTATTTGTAATAATCGGTTCTTAACCATATTCAAACATCTAATTAGTAATAAAGCATCCCCTCTAATATGTCAAAGCTTCTGTTTCCTTCAATCTTACTCTAGCTTTCTTCCTTTGCCAGCTAACTTTCCAAGTCAGTGCATTTGGATCATCAAATAATTCTTCCTCTATTTTTGTATATATTATTTGAAACAAGAGAAACAATTTAGTTAAAGTATTTTTGGAAGAACTAGCCCATTGATATTCATTAAACAGCCTCCCTCCTTCTCCAGAGTTTAGAATATCTTTTATATGTCCATATTTTCTCAAGATTAAATCGATTTGGGTGTACGGCTTCCATTGTTGAAAGTCATCCTGGAATTTTCAAATATATTTTACAGTTTATTTTTTCCCATGTTAGTAATAATGCAGTTTTGGAAATATTTATGATTTTATTTTTCCCATAACATAGGGAAAAATGTTATGCCAACCAAGTTGTAAGTCATGTCCCTCTAGATACAACAATCTTTTATTTCTGAGAGTTATCCATTCTTTTACCCATGTTAACAATATAACATGGGTAGTAATATAATATCCAATCTGGCAAACCAAAACCTTCATTTCCCTTAGCTTCTTGTAACATTTTCAATTTAATTCTAGCTTTCTTTCCTTGCCAGATAAATTTTAAAATTAAGGAATTCAGGTTGTCAAAAAAAAAGTTCTCTAGTTTTATAGGTTTCATTTGGAATAAGAAAAGTATTTTTGGAAATATATTTATTTTCACTGTAGCAATTCTCCCTAACATTGACAATTGCAGATTTTTCCACTTTTCCAAGTCAAGTTTTATTTGGTTTAGTAATTTTATCTTTTATCGCTGAACATCTTGCTGTCAAATATATTCCCAAATATTTAACCTTTTTAACTATTTGTAGATCTATTTTTTCTGACAATTGTTTGTTTTTTTTTGTTTTTCTGTAAGATTTTAAATTATCACTTTAGTTTTTTTCTCTATTTATCTTCAATCCTACTGTCTCTCCAAACTGTTCTATCTTTTCCAATAATTTAGGAATCATCTCTAAGGTTTCCTCTAGGATGAATACCAAATCATCTGCAAATGCTTGCAATTTGTAGCTTTCACCTTTTACCTTCAGTCCTTTAATTTCTAAATCTTGTCTAATATTTCTATTTAAATATTTAAATATGGAAGAGATGGGGAAAAATTTGATGGAGGCTGATAAAGAGCTAATGACAGCGGTGATACTATTGGAAGCAGAGAAGGCGACCCAATATCTCAGGTTTCAAAATGTCACTGAAGAAAGAGGAGAAGATCTTCCAGATAAAATGGCTGGGTTGCTAGCAGGAGTCTTGGACAGAGAAAAAGAATATATGATTGTTGAAATGGATGAGACTTATAGAGTGCAAACAAATTATGGAAGACGTCATAATCTTCCAAGAGAGGTCCATGTTAAATTTATAAGAAAGAAGATTAGGGATGAATTACTTTATAGAACACGTGACGAAAAGTTAGAATATGGAGGGAAACATATAATTGTGCTAAAACAGGTACCCAAGAGGATGAGAGACCTTCGGAAAAATTACCTCTTCCTAACTTCTTGGTTACATCAAAGCAATGTTAATTTTAGGTGGCTAACACCTGAAGGGATTGTTGTGACCTGGCAGGAGAAGAGGTTTAGGTTAGATTCAGTTGAGAAAGCGGAGGTCTTTTATCGGCAATATTGTACTGCAGAGGAAGACCTGAGGGACTTTAGAGAAGGAAGAGATTCGATAGTTAAAAGGAGGGATGTTGAACAATTGTCAGAGAAAAGAGGGATAGAACAGAATATGGAGGAAGAAAGCGTGAGAAACGGTCAAGACAGGATGGAACAGGGGAGAAGTTTAGCTGAGGCGAAGGAAATAAGAATAACCAGAAGTACAAAGTCACGACAAAGGCTGAATAATGGGAGAGGAGTATAGGATCTGGCCAACAAATATCAGAGGGTTAAATGCACCTGTAAAACGTAGGAAGGTTTTTGATAAACTCCTTAAATTGAATGTGGACATTATAGCGTTACAGGAAGTTCATATAAAATCTGGCCAGGAATTTTTACTAGAAAGACCCAAATTAGGTCAATTATATGTTTCACTTGATCAAAAAAAAATGGGGTGTTGCTCTATATGTTAAACAGAAGATAACGTCGAAACAAATATATAGTGATAAATAAGGTAGGGTTCTGATTGTTGATGTTAAACTTAATAAAAAGAATATAATTTTTGTTGTAATATATGCTCCAAATGGTGCTCAAGTATCCTTTTTAAAAAATTTATACAATAGGCTAAGAGATATGGAGGGAGATGGTCTCTGTATAATTGGGGATTTTAATGTGATTGCTGATAAAACCAAGGACCATAAAGGCACAGAGGCAATGAAAGGATATAAAAAAAATATTACCAAAAATTTTCTTTGAGATGTGTAGGGATCTTAGCTTACAGGATGTTTGGAGAGAGAAGAATCGTGAAAAGGGGGAATATACGTATTATTCCAGCAGACACAAATCATGGACCAGAATAGATATGCTGTGGTGTACTAAAGAATTAATTTCAGAAATACATAAAATAGATATACAGCCCAGTCTCTGGGCTGACCATAATCCGATAAGTTTATGTTTGAAAGGTC